CAGAGGCCACGGGCACAAACTGGGCCATGGGAGGTTTCCTTTGAACATCAGGAAACACTTTTCACTGTGAGGGTGGTACAGGTTGCCCCGGGAGGTGATGGAGTCTCCATACTTGGAGCTATTCGGAAGCTGTCTGGACATGGTCCTGGGCAACTGGCTCTGGGTGTCCCTGCTTGAATGGGTGGGCTGGACAAGGTGACCTCCAGAGGTCCCTTCCAACCAGGACCATCCCATAATTTTATGATTCTGTATTAATTTCTGTGGAGAAGGATACCTTTCGCAAAGTACGTGAATTTTGGTATGATACCAGCTCTCTGTTGCAAGTACCGCTGGTTCTGCCTCAGCACTAGTTTCTCTGAAGTAAAACACGGGCAATGTTTTAAGCAGAGGTTAGTTGTACTACTCAGAAGCAATGTCAGTGGATGTGACGAGAATGAGCATAGATGTAAGCAGCTGGGGGCTGTTACCTGGCGCTGGTAACCTATGTAGTGAACTTTTCATGTACTGAACCTCTTTGCCCCTTCCTCATTATTGTTTTTAACAGTTGAATATCTAAAATCCTCTTGCTTCTGATGACTCAGTGTTGCAAATAACTTTGCAAACACTGTTTACAATCCCTGCTATAGATCTGCAGGGCTGTAGGATGCTGTATTCTGTGATCAACTTAGATCTGCTGCTGCTTTTCCTGTTTGACTCAGTGTTTAGTGGCTGTATGCTTCTTTTTGTTTCCAGTAGCTTCTAGTTGCTTATTTTCTAGGCTTTGCCCTCCCTAATAAAAATGCGGTTGTTATCTTAGTGTGCAAATGAAGTGAACTGTGAAATGTCTTGGTTTTGTGCAGTCTTATACCCTTTTGCAGTAGTGAAAATGTCTTGAGCATATAAGCGCAGGGGATAATAATGTGGCCTCGTACCTATCCTGGCCCTGTGGCCATCCCTTTATAGTTGCAAACAGATGGTCTTGCATTCTGTTGATTATTTTTGGGTCCCTGTGGTGCTGGTACAGTGCAGCATAGATGAGGTAGTTAATTGTCCCCTGTTGCTGGATTGCACAGCAACCCTGGGACTAATCTTAAAGGTTAGTTGTTGATCCTTCTTGCTGTCATCTTGTTTTCCTCTGCTTTCTAAGCCTGCTGAAATCTGTAGTACAGTCTACTTGAGCACTGTACTGGAAGAGTGGAGTAGTATACTCTTGCTTTGAATCATAGAATCACAGAATCGTTTAGGTTGGAAAAGCCCTTCAAGATCATCCAGTCCAACCATTAACCTACACTACCAAGCCCACCTAAACCAATCAAGGGTAGACTAGACTAAACCATATCCTGAAGTGCCACATCTACCTCTTTTTTGAAGTTTGGAGAATGTTTAGGTGTTTGCAAGAGACAGGGGTTCAATAGCTACTTCAGGAGGAAAGGAAGGACTGTTGGGCAGACACTCTTTCCTACTTGCAAGGAGGAAGTGTTGAATGGAGAACAAAGGTGGGTATGAATTGGACACAGGACGAGGAAAATGTCTTTTGCAGCATGTAGTGTTTAAAAGGGCAAGTCACCGTGTGATTGGGCATATCTGCTAAAACCTGCTGCTGGTGACAGTTGGGAAGTAATGCCACCAAGTGTGTTCTTGGCTCACGCTTCTAATGACTGACGGGTGCTCTGATGAGGTGTCTGTTTACCCTGGTGAGCTCTGTGCTCTAGCATGTCCTTGAGGGTTTGAGAAGTCTAGCAAGCTCTGCATGTTCCTGCAGTAATGCTGATTATTTCTCTTTATGCTCTTATTGTCAGATTGAGTTCAGCTTGCCAAAGGCAAGTTGCTTATCCTACCTTCTACTGTACTTCACATCTCTTCCTGTCATCTGCCTTGCACAGACACCATAGTTGGCTGAATCCTTTTCTAAAATTCATCTTTGCTTCGCTAATTCCCTACCAGACTGATCAGTCATGTGGTGCTATGTCTTGTAGCCTGCCCCTTGCTGTCTTCTCTGTGGCTGAGAAAGGCGTATTTGTTGTTAATGTTGGTGATCTGGCTTTACTTTTTCACCTTCATTGTTTGTCTTGCTTAACATAACTGTCCTTAGCCTTCATGCATCTGATCATTCACAGAATTAAGAGTCATCATTAGATATAGTAGTGGATGGCAGGTAGCAACCATGTGCAAATCAGTCAGAAGTGCTTGTGTCAGAGGTACCTTAAAGTGTATATTCTTATCTTGTACAGTTAAGAGTTTGTTTTAAAATATACGCTCAGATGAAGCTCCTCTCAAGCCTCTATCTGTGCTAAGTGGCTTGCACACCAAGGTGATGGACCTACAGTAGTGACTAGACCGGACCAAAACCAAAGCTTCTTGTCCCAGCTTCTACAATGCTGTCACGGTGTAACAGCACTTTTGTCTGCCTTGTTTAACATGCTTGCAGTGAGTTTTTCAGAGTTGACTTCAATAACAGGTTGTTGTGGTCACAGTGATGAATGGAACAGATGCGTGTCTGGCAAGGCTGTCTCTGCTCAGCTCTAAGGCATGCAGTGAAGAATCTGGTAGTCTTATGCCACTGCTCTACTGTTGCATTTCTTCAGCTTTGCAGAGCGAGGTTGTGCATGTGACTTGCAGACAAGTTGCACGTGAGCTGTGATATAAACTGCTAGAACAGGAAAAAGCCTGGCCAAGTATGGCTAATCAAACCCAGCTGCAGAGCTAGTCTCTGCAATAGTGACAGAAAAACATGTTGAGGAGTTCCTGTGCAAGTTTGGAGGCACAAGGACCAGAATATCAGAGGGGACAGGTCCCTGGATGACCTACAACAGCAAATTCAAAACTGCCTTTCTGTGTGTCTGAGTTGGAAGTTCCCACAGACAGTGCAATCCCGGCTCTTTCCAGAAATGCTGGTGCCATTGTGGAATGTCCGTAGGACCTGGGCGCAGAGCAGCTTATTATCAAGTCCTTAATGAGGTGCAGGCAGCCATTATAGATCGAGCTTGGGCTAGGATTCCATCGTACTTGCCTTTCCAGTATGGGAGTGCCTATGTTACATCAGTGGCTAAGGTTGCTGCTGATAATGGCTTTTTGTGATTGATGACAGCCTCTTCCTGTTGTTAAACGGGGCCGCCCAGGAGCAAAGGGCAGGATGGCTGGATAGCGAACTGCCCCTTGCCATCCAACACGCAGTACTAACAGTATTTAAAGACACATTGGAAAATGAAGCTAATCAAAACATCGCTTGGAAGATGACTTTATACTTGGCTGATTCTGCTCCATGTTTGGCAGGATAGTGTTGTCCTGGGTAGTACTATGCCAGAATCCCTGCCTGAGGACATTGCTCCAACACTTGATGGCACGTGCTGGATTTCTGCAGCGCTGTCACTGCTGACACAGTGCCCCTCTCTCAGGACAGGCCTTGATGCCTCTGCCCTTCTCCCGGGGTCTGGCCCCAGCCAGGCAGTGGTGCTGCCCTGGCAGCAGCTTAGCTACACGCAGGATCTTGGTGGTGGTTGCCAGACCTCTGACTGTACAGAACCGCGTAGCTGAAGATGAGTTTTGGGTTCCTGTTTACTCTTACAATCCATTGTACTGATAAGAAAGGCAGAACAAATAGACGACTTATAAAATAAGTCTTACTTTCTATCCCCAGATTGTCTGGTTAGTTCCTGGGTAGTCAGAGGCTGTCACGCGTGGAATAGGTGTTAGGTTTAGCAGGGCTCACAAAAACACCTGTGTAATAGTTCATGTATACTGCATGCTGCACAAAGACATCCAGTATTCCATAAAAAAAACCCAAACACACAAAAAAATTATCACATTTCAGAGCAGAAGGGTTTCTGAAGTCTTAAATACCCTGTTCTGCAAAAACTGGGACAAAGTAATAGTTCTTGTAGACAGGGAACAGACGTGTTTGGGATCAGTGAGGTCCTGTGATTATGTTACAGCTTAGGCCTCAGGGGAATGCCTAAATCTTAATGATATTGGTCACTCTGAGGAAAAATTTGTTCTTGATCAAAAACTTCACAGCGTTCAGGTGGTGCATCTGCAGCAATACTGCATTTCTGGATGTGATCATCCTCTGGCCCTTCATAGGGCTGTAGTTGTCCTTATCTCCACCCCTCACACCCACCAGTGGTATACTGTAGGGTTAGGAGAAGTTATTTTTAGTTCCTGCAAGTCTCTAGCAGAAGCTCTGAGAGTCACGTGTGGCAGGAGACTGTGGGATCAGGCACGTTCAAGGGTGGAAGTGGAGCTTCGGATGGGATGGTGACTCTGCTCCCTGTGTGCCTCAGTGTTTCTCCCTGGAGGAGCCAGCTGCTGAGTTCTGGAGAGTTGTTTGCAGCCTTTTCAGAGGTGGCTGTCCCAAAGCTTATCCTTTATGGGCAGTCCGTACTTGTGTTCTGCTTGTTGTTCTTGTTACTCCCTCCCCATAGCTCTGAGTTGTTTGTGGTCATTGCTGTGGAGGAGCTGGCTGCTGGGAGTCCTCTGCTGTCGGGGTGGTCATCTCTCCTCATTCAGCAGCTTTGCTTGACTTCTGTCTTGAGGCACTTTGGCACCAGTGCCCTGCTGATATGTGGAAGAGTTGCCTTGTAGGTCTGTCCCTCTCCTGGAGCCCTGAGGTGGTGACTAATTGGGGTGATCTTGGCATCTCTGGCTGTTCCTGGGGCTTCTGTTATAGTTGAGGTGCTTGTGACAAATGCTATAGATCTGATTTAAGTTAGGTGCTTTCAGGACTCTCACTTCAACAGGGAGTCCTTCCCAGCTTGTCTTCCCATTCGGCAGAAGCTGTGGTCTCCAGGTTTGCTCTTGGAGAGTAATGCTAAGCTGTCTCAGTCGATCCTCAGCCAAGAAACAATGGAGAAGTATTTCAGGGCAGGTGACCTGAGATGAGGGACTGACGGAAGGGCCAACTTAACTCCATTGTGCTGCCCCTTTGGGCACCAGAGGGCCCTGGAGTTGCATGTGATCCCTAGGATCTAGTCAGGGATGGGCTACCGTTTCCTGTGTCCTAAGCATTCATGACTTTCTTCTAGTGGCACCGGACACAATTAACAACCACGTGAAGACCTGTCGTGAGGAGCAGAAGAACCTGCACTTCTTTGCCCCGGAATATGGAGGTATGGTGTGGCTACAGCTGCAAGCCTGGTTTTGTTGGCCTTACTAATGCTTCCAAGCTGTTCTGCATCTTGTTTTCAGCTACAGGCTCATGACAGATGTCACATTAACAGTTTTGAGTTATTTGCCTGCTTAAATGCTCCAACTCCTCTGTCTTTTGATAGCAGAAGAGGGAGAGAAGGCTGCAGGATTATCATAGCCTGATGCAGAGGTGGTCCCCCTGAATACAGGGATGGCCTGATAACAGCGTTATTTCTGTGTTACAGAAGTTGCCAACGTCACCACTGCTGTGGACATTTACTCCTTCGGGATGTGTGCACTGGAGGTGAGTGTGGAATGCTTTGGCTATGGGCCAGAGAGAGAATGAGTTTGAGGGAAGGAGACAGCTCTGTGGAGATGCTGTGGTTATGGGTGGGTTAGCTTGGCAACAGATGCATTTTGTTCTCCGAGCCGAATGCACTTTGCCGTGGAGGGATCCCTATTGAGGCTCCCCCGAATGCCTTACTAAGAAGTAAATAGCTCGGTAATGCGTGGTTCTTTCTGAAATTCCTAATGAATTCTGATAATTCCCTGAGAATTCTGATAATGAATCTGAAATTCATTACTCTGCAGGTGTTGGCCAGCTCTGAAGTCTGACCCACTGGCTGGTGGGAACAGTCACTACTACAAACTGTAGTTAATGTACGTGGAGAACAAAACTCCCCTTCTGGGGAGTGCCTGTTCTTCCTGTGGTATCTGGAGGAGAGGACAGATGTAGTCCATAACTTTTCTGGGCCAGCCTGTCCCCACCTGATACATGTGCTAGGTGCAGTCGGGCACGAGTCTGACGTACCTGATCTTAGCAGCTTAGTGGTTCCTCTGTCCTTGCAATCAGTAGGCCCAAATCTAGGAAATGGGAGTTCTTGGTAAGAGTATTTTCTGGGAAGACTTGTCAGAAAGAGCCAACACAAAGAATTCTGAACCTATGCTGCACATCCCATAAGTGAAGCAGGAAGAGAACTGTGGAAACACACAACTTTTAGGAAGCAAAACTTGAGTTGAATCCTAAGACATTCTCTGGGATCTTTTGCCAGCCTTTTGTAGCTGGGAATTTGTGTATGTGTTGGCCAGAGCCAGTTCTGGATGGCATTGTGTGCTTGCTTTTCTGCCTGTAATACAGAGCTATTCATACAGCCAAGAGGGACACTGTCAGATTCTGGCAGTGATCCAGTTACTGCTTCATTAGAGGATGGGAATTATCAAGCAGAAGTGCAGACCAATGGATCATGAGATTCAAAATGGAGATACTTAACTGTCTAAGGTGATGCTGGCATGGTTTTCAGGTCTCCCTGGCAATCTGTTAGCGTGCTAGAAACAAGCTACCGTAATGAGGCAGTCATTCTCTCTCTGCCTCCACAAACTGTGACCTTAAATAGCACCAAACCACTTGGCTGTTACGATTTCACGCTTGGCAGTGGCCTCCTTGAGCTCTGTTCAATGTAGTCAGTAATTCTCAGTGAAGTCTGATGCGCTGCTTTGTGTTCGCAGATGGCGGTGCTGGAAATACAGGGTAATGGAGAGTCGTCTTACGTGCCCCAGGAGGCCATCAACAGTGCCATCCAGCTGCTGGAGGACCCCTTGCAGAGGGTGAGTGAGGAGGGATCAGCGCCCCTGCAGATGTGCTGGCATTGCACGTGGTCTCATGCAATTTTTGTCTTTCAGGAGTTCATTCAGAAGTGTCTAGAACAGGACCCTGGCAAGCGTCCTACTGCCCGGGAGCTGCTTTTTCATCAGGCTTTGTTTGAGGTGCCATCACTAAAGCTACTGGCTGCTCACTGTATCGTTGGACATCAGCGTGAGTATGGAGTCCCAGGGTGCCACATCTCGCGTTCTGCAAAGCTTCGCTAAGTTGTCAGTACAGCGGGCATCCTGGAAACAGAGACCTTCATGCTGCTCTTTACAGGCAGGGACCAGGGCTTGTGAACAGAGCAGCGGTCACTGCAGAGCCTGGAGGAATATGGTGCCCTGCCTGCTCCGAGTCGTGTGGGAGACTAACAGCCTAAAGCCTCTCGCGTTTTTATTGCTTTTCTTAGGTTGGAAAGGAATTGCAGTTGTTCAGGTCTAACTTTTTTTTTTTAATAGATATGATTCCTGAAAATGCTTTAGAAGAAATGACCAAAAACCTTGACATGAGTGCAGTGTTGGCAGAGATTAATCATGCGGACAGGGAAGGAGTCAAGATGATGTGAGTACCCTGTGGTGTGCTTGGAGGGGGCTGCTCAGGTGCACGTGGAACAGGTGCCAGGGCACTGGCGTGAGCACTGAAGGACGAGAGGAAGTGGCCTCAAGTTGCATCAGGGGAGGTTTAGATTGGATATTAGGAAAAATTTCTTCATGGAAAGAGTGGTCAAGCATTGGACCAGGCTGCCCAGAGAGGTGGGGGAGTCCCCAGCCCTGGAGGGGTTCAAAAACGAGCAGAGGTGGCACTTGGGGACATGGTTTAGTGGGCATGGGGGTGTTGGGTTGATGGCTGGGCTGATGATCTTGGAGATCCTTTCCAACCTCAGTGATTCCTGGTTTTACTTTCATTAAAGAATAATCCAGCCAGCAAGCCAGGAAACATGAAATTAATTGTTCCTCTCCCCTTAATTGGTTTAGTGGCAGACGTGGTAGTGTTAGGTTAATGGTTGGACTGGATGATCTTAAAGGTCTTTTCCAACCTAAACGATTCTATGATTCTATTCTGTTGTATGATTCTGTGATCTGGGACTCTTCCCTTCAAGTTAGTGTCGGAATTTCACCGCTGACTGGGAAACAAAAGGGAGCTGATGGTGCTGTTGGTGAAGGAGCATTCACTCTCTGTCTGGGCACAAAAAATTCTGTGGAGAGTAACTCCTGGGTGGAAGAAGACCTTGCACCCATGTTCTGTGAACAGATTCCATGTAGCTGAGGTGTGAATTGTTCCCCAGACAGAGGGGTGGGAAACTAACACACTGTAGTTGGAACAGTCCTTAGCAAAACCTGGCTGAACAGTTTGGGGAGGTGACTTGGACCAGTCATAGGCTTGTCAAATGGAGTTGAGAATGTTGGAGAAATGGTTCCTCTGTTTTCTTAATGGAGCATCTCATTCTACAATATGCAAAGGGAAAGGCTGTTTTGGGCAGCTATCAATAACACACAGTGTGTCTTAAGCTATAGAGGTGGCTCCCTAAGTAAGTGACTGCAATATATATGGAGCAAATAGAGTGCCAGAAAAGTGATGTTAAATTTTGGATAATGAAACCTCAGCTAGTTGAGGGGTTAGCTGAAAAGACTAACGTGGATACTGTAGTTCCAGAGAAGGCCAAGGTGCTTCCAGGGTAGCCCAGCATTCTGGGTTGCTCAGGCTACTGGACAAAAGTAATCAAGACAAGGAAAAAAAGCATTGATCATTTGAGAAGCTATTTGAGCCATATAGACCTTTCTAAAAACTGAGGTTCTGATCTTCATAGTGCTAATAAATAATAGTATTAAATTCCCTTTGGAATGTTTTTTGTTAATTAAAGATTCAGAATGGAGGACAAAGTGAACAGCCAAAGCCGTGCAAGAGAGATTCTTTACATATATTGGACTTCAGTCTGCAGAGGATTTGCTATCTGGCATAGGCCAGCCTGGGACTTGCCTTCTGGTAGTGCAGTACCTCAGAGGTGCTGGAAAAGGAAAAAAAAGCATAGTAATGATTTGAAATGTCCAAGAGCATAATTTCCAGATGATTCATCGCAGTGCCATGCAAACTGAGCTGCTAGAAAAAAATTGTAATTTTTTGCTGAAGAATACTACTGATTGGGAAAGTTACAGAGGTTGTGTGTGTTGAGAAGGGCTGGAGAGTGCTCTGCAGAACTGAGACAGATGTGCAGCCTACACCAGACCAGGTGGAACAGCAAAGCACTGGGTGGGGGGTCATGGCAGGATTTGAGCAGCTTGCAGCCTCTGGCTAATCTCTGAAATTCTTCAAAGCAGTCTTAAGGCAGTGGTATGGAGGAGACTGTCAGTTCAAAGTTTTGTTGCAACCAGTCTAAAAGAAGCTGTGGTCAAGTGGACACTAAAAAGCTGAATTGACTAAGGTGATGAGGGAAGCGTTTTACTGGGGAATTAGTAAAGTAGGAGAACCTGTGTCATCTTGTTAGTCAGAACCAGAAAAAAATGAGGTACTCGCTGTGGACTGTTCTGGTTTTGCTAACTCCCTGTGCTCTGCAAAAGGCAATAATAGCTTGCTTTAGAGAAAAAAAGAACTGCTGCTCTGTCTGAGAAGGCTGTGAAGTAACACCACAGGAAAAGACCATTCCCAGCTTGCTGAAAAGGCACCGCTGTGCAGCTATAGCTGAGAGCACATGGTGGTATCAGGATGCCAAATAATGGGAGAGAAGGTTACGGTGGTTGAGTGAAATGTCTAAAGATGTTACCTGTACCACGGACAAAGTGGCAACCTTTGTGAACAGTGCTGGAGCAGGTCAGAGCGCTGGCTTCACCAAGGGGCTGTAAATCAGCGTCACCCCATGGAGGAACTGTGTGTTCCTGAGGGTGAGAAAGGGGAAGAGCAGCAGGCATACGACAAGTTACGGCACAAAGGGGAGGGACTGGCAGTGCTTACTGTCCTCCGTCAGCCACCACCAAGGAAGATCTTCAATGGAATTAGGGACTACGGAATTAAAAGCAAATTGGTAGGAAGACTTCCTCTAGGACACTACATTAAGAGGCCACCAGGCTGAATGAGCAATCTGGGAAAGAAATTACAGAGAGAACAAAAGTATCCCAAACTCCAGTGAGAAATATTTGGGCAGTGCATTAAATACTGAGGCGTAGTTTCCAGTTTCTGGTCTGGAGCGATATGGCTGGTCATGCTGTGCCGTCAGTTGCTGCAGAGGTTCCTGCCTTTGCAGTGCTGAGTGTCCTGGCTCTTCTGGAGATGGGACGCAGGCTTCGTGGGTCTGGTATAACAGATGTCTTTGAAAAACCTTGCTAGGAACATGGTGTATTGGGCTAGCTTCCAAATAATTGCATTGGACAACTCTCTACAGCGAGGTGATACCTGTTCTGCCATAATTAAAATGTTGCCTCATCCTTAGCTTCTATGAATAGTTGCTTCCTGTACAGAGTCTGTCCTGCCTTTGGCT